TTTGCCGTTCTGCCCACCTCTCAGCTTCTATACGTGCACTTCCCTCTGCCTCGCAACACTTTAAGCCCTACATTTTCTGCACGTCTTTGTCAATCATCACTCTTCAAGGAAGCCTACCCTTGCCTTCCAGCTGTTGTTGTTGTGTGTCGTTGAATCAATTCTGGCTCATAGCGACCCTATATGACAGAGCAGAACTGCCCCCGAGGGTTTCCTAGGCTGTAATCTTTATGGGAGCAGATCACTAGGCCTTCTCTCTCACAGAGAGGCTGGTGGGTTCCAACCGCAAACCTTTCAGTTAGCAGCTGTCTTAGTTGTCTAGTGCTGCTAAAATATACCACAAATCACAAATTTCTGTTTGACTTTAACAAACAGAGATTTATTTTTTCACAGTTTAGGAGGCTAAAAGTCCTAATTCAGAGCACTGGCTCTAGGAGAAGGCTTTCTCTCTCTGTTGGCTCGGGAGGAAAGTCCTTGTCTCTTCAGCTTCTGCTTCCTGGTTCCTTGGAGAGCTCCATGTGTCTTGGCATCTGTCTTACTCCATCTTTCTCTCTGCTTTCTCTTTTTATATCTCAAAAGAGATTGACTCAAGATACATCCTACACTAATCCTGCCTCATTAATATAACAAAGATAACCCTTCCCAAATGGGATTATAACCTCAGGCATAGAGGTTAGGATTTACAGCACATATTTTGGGAGGCCATAATTCAATCTATAACATTCCACCCCTTGACCCCGTCAAAATTCATGTCCTTCCCACATGCAAAACACCTTCACCCCATCACATCATCCCAAAAGTCTTAATTCCAAGTCCAAAATCTCATCTTCTGAATCATCTAAGTCAAATATGGGTGAGATGTTAGGCGTATTTCATCCTGGGGCAAAATTCTTCCTCATCTGTGAACCTGTGAAATCTAGACTACAAGGTATCTGTTCCCAAAGTACAATGGTGGAACAGACACAAGGTAGACATTTCCATTACAAATGGGAGAAAGTGGAGAGAAAGAAGGAATAACAGGCACCAAGCAAGTCCAAAACCCAGCAGAAAAAATTTCTATTAGCGCTCAAGGCTTGAAAATAATCCTCTGTTCTTTGGGACCATCTGGGCAATGACTGTGCCCTCCAGACTCTGGGTGTTGGCCATGCTGTCTGGACTCTGGATGGAGGATCCTCAGCCTGGACTTCAGCTTCACTTTCCAGGCCCAGTGAGATGGCAACTCTGCTCCCTTGGCTTTGGGCAGCCCCATTCTCCTAGTCCATCTGAGTGGCAACCCCACTCCCTCGGCCCAGGCAGGCCCCATTCTTCTGCCCCTTAGGTATGACAGCCCTACCCCCTCAGCTTTGGGAGGTGGCCCTATCCCCTGGCAGGGCCTTAACAGCAGCCCCACACTCTGGAACCGAGTTGGTGAAGATTCGACTCTTTGAAACCTAGGAAGCTGTAGCCCCATCCATTGAGATCCAGGATACCACGGCCTCACCCTTTGAAACTGAGAAGGCCCTGCTTCCTGTGCTCCTTCCAACAGTTCTGCTGATCTGTGAGCTGCTCCAGGGAAGTTCCTTTTCTTTTCTTGAAAGACAACAGATGTATCTCCTTTGGCCTGTTTTTTGCCTGTTGAATTCCAAGAGGTAGACAGCATTCTTTCTTTTCCTTCTTTCTCCATCCCATTCAATCCAAGCTAATGGGTTTTCTGCTGTGGTAGTTGGTTAGATCCATCAGTCACAGGCTTAATCTCTTTAACAAAAGATTGTGTAGCCACATCCTTGGTGAACATTCTAGGACACGTGTCCTTAGTTTGTACAACAGAATTTTCCAAATTTTTAAGTTCCATTTTCATTTTGCACAGTTCATTTTTGAGTCCATCTCTTTCCTCCCACATTTTACTATAAGCAGCAAGAAGAAACCACATGGCCCCTTTAAGATCTTGCTTAGAAATCTCATCAGACAAGTATCCAAGTTCATCACTTACAATTTCTACCTTCCACCAAATATTTGAACGTAGTTCAGACAAATTCTTTGCCACTGCATAAAAAGCATTGCCCTTCCTCCATTCTCCAATCACATGTTCATCAATTTCTTTTAAAGCCTCACCAGAAGCACATTCAACATTCACGTTTCTAGCCACATTCTTTTGCTGGCGCCATATGTATTCTCTAAGATGATAGAGACTTTCTCTGTAGCTCTCCTCACTTCCTTCTGAGCCCTCACCAGCGTTACCTTTGACATCCATAATTCTACCAACAGTCTCTTCAAGGCAGTCTAGGCTTTACTATTAGGCACCTTAAAACTCTTCCAGCCTCCACCCATTTGCCAATTCTAAAACCCCTTTCATATTTTTAGAGCAGCACCCCACTCTTCTGGTACCAAATCCTGTCTTAGCTATCTAGTGCTGCTGTAACAGAAATACCACAAGTGGTATTTATTTTCTCACAGTTTAGGAGAATAGAAGTCCGATATCAGAGCGCTGGCTCTTGGGGATTACTTTCTTTCTCTCTCGTCTCTGAAGGAAATTCCCTGTCTCCTCAGCTTCTGCTTTCTGGTTCCTTGGAGATCTTCATGTGTCTTGGTATCTCTCTTACCCCATCTCTCTGTCTGCTCAAAAGAGATTGACTCAAGATATACTCTACACTAATCCTGCCTTATTAACATAACAAAGACAATTTATTCCTAAAATGGGATTATAACCACATGCATAGAGATTAGGATTTACAACACATATTTTTGAGGGACATAATTCAAATTATAACATCAGCCAAGCACTTAACTATTGTACCACAAGGCACAATTTCCCTATATCATCTCTTAAGGCCACGTGCCCTTCTTTGTGGCACTTTGCTGGTTTACATGCATTTCTTCAATTATTTTAATAATATCTGTCTGCTTTAAGTATGAGCCCCATGAGGGCAAGGATTGGGTCTGTCATAATGCTTGGTGTATAGTAGTCACTCAATAAATATTTGGTGACCAACTGAGTAAATGGATGAATGAGTGAGAATGAAGGAGGGAATAAACTAAGAGCAGGGATTTTCTGACCATTTTCAGGATTGGCTTCTGAATCCATGAGCCTGTGGAATTGTCAGCAATGGTGAGTGGCTATCCATGGGCACATATGTACGGCTTCTAAGGCAAGAGCCCATAGCTGTTGACAGGTTAAGAATCTTTAAGAGATTTAACGTGAATATGCATAATTATATGAAGACGGGGGGAGAAAAAGAAGAAAAAAGATAGGAAATTTAGAAAAAAAATTATAAAAAGATAAAGGGAGGAACTCTATGAATAGAAACAGAATAGAAGAAAGTTGAGAGGATAACGAGCATGAAAGAAGGTGAGGGGCAGTTATTACTGAATTAACCCTTTAAACTTAATGAACCCAACTTTGTGCAAGACCCTATGCTCAACACTATCAGGGATTTTGTACCTGATCTCCACCTTCACGTCTAAAAGGGGAATGTCTTGGGTAACTACAATTCAGGGTGAGTGTAATGAAATGATCCAAGAGAGGTTTAGATGGAGCCATTTGCTAGCACAGAGGAAGGGAGATTACACGTAACAGTAGAAGGAAAGAAGATCACCAAAGGATTCCTGGAGGAGGGTAACATTTCAATATGTCCTTGATGCATGGTAGGATTTGGGCAATTTTTGCCTCCACGTTTCCCTTTTGGAGCTCACTTCCCCTCAGCTGCATCCTCCCTTTCTCTGCTCTCTCCAGCTGCCTCACTGTACACAGAGTTCCAGATCTTTCTGAATTCCTCCACCCAACCCCAGGCAAAATCTGTTTTTTCTAAAACACCTTCTCAGGGCTAAGTTGCCCAAATTGAATCTGGTTAGCAAAGTTATAGTCTGAAATTAAAAATGATGACTTTGCAATATTCTTCCCAGATAATAACTACATCTGGTAACTGAGGCCTCTGAGGCCCTCACTGAGTATTGTGGGGAGGGTATAGTTAGTAGGGGAGGCCACAAGTAGTGGAGCGGGGAGAGGGGATTGCTTCCAAACTTTTTAGGAGAATTCTCCTTCAACTATCAGATTCCCCAGACACACCCAGTTCAGTTCAGGCCTGAGGTTGCATAGGAATCCCTGGGTGCTGTGAAGAGTTAACGTGCTTGGCTGCTAATTGAAAGGTGCCTGGGAAGAAAAGCCTGGGGATCTACTTCCTAAAAGTCAGCCATTGAAAACCGTATGGAGCACAGTTCTACTCTGACAAACATGGGGTGGCCATGAGTTGGAGTCTACTGCGTGATGACAACTGGTTTTTGTTTCCTTGGTTTGTTGTTATTTTTTTTTTTTTTTTTGGGAGGTTGCACAATTATTTAATCCAAAGCTGGGATGGCTGATTGTTTCCACGTTGAGTACCAAACCTGACTGATTAGTTGGGAATACCCTGGAGCTTGTTGAGAAAGAATGTGAGAGCATTGCCACAGGTGGAGAACGAACCCTGGGATGGATTAATAATGTCTGCCTGGGAGGCTAATAGACCCTTATAGACTGGCAGGTGGTTGCGATCGTTGAGGGGCCTACGTGGAGACTGCAACCTGCAACTCGCCTGCCTCTCTGGGATGTGGAATGTCATCTCCAGCCTTACTCCTTGTGTGGCGTCCTCAGAACAGCAGCATCAGCATCACAGGGGAGCCTATTAGAAATACAGCATCACAGGGGAGCCTATTAGAAATACAGAATCTCAGGTCCGCTTTGGTCCTACTCAATCAAAGTTTGAATTTTAACAAAATCCCTGGGGTTGGGGGTGGGGAATTCATATACACATTAAAGTTTGAGTCACAGGAGTTTGATGGATCTTTGTGAAGGTCCTCACTGACTCCTGGCCTAGCTTCTCCCACTGCTGACTGCAGACCATTTCCTTTAACAATACATCAGCAGGGACAAGACTAGCTCCCTGTCAGAAAAGGAAACGTATCTTCACTCCTGTATTTGAGAGGTTTAATAATAGGGCTATTTTGTGCCAAACCACATTTCTGTCTTACCACCATGTGGCTTCTGTCCCCAGGCAATCTATAAGATGGTTTCATCCGTAATGAAAATGCCTGAAGATGAATCGACCCCAGAGAAAAGGACAGAAAAGATCTTCCGCCAGATGGACACCAATAGAGATGGTAAGAGGCCATGGTAGCATTTCTTTGCTCAGGGTGGGGGCTTCTAGAGGGGGCGGGGGAGTCCAGGCAGGGAGATGCCACTTGAGGACAAGATATTGACCACAGAGACTTGGATCAAGACCCTTTGTGGAAGTGGCTCCCCCTGTGCAGCCCTGGATGGGCAAGAAGCAGGATAATCAGGGTGGCCACTGGAGAGCTGATCCTTCCTGGGGCGAAATGCCTCATTTCTAGGCCCTTCTATCCTCCTTCTAGGCTATTCTTTACCCCAGACGTAATAAGATGAGGCTTGTGGAGCAGGAAAGGAGGAACCAGAGACATTGCAGGATAACACCCTATTATGTTGATCATATGCAATACATTATGGCATCTCAACTCCAGTATAATGAGATCATAGAGCTGAGTGAGTTAGCATTACCAGGAATGCATCTCACTGCTAAAAGCCCTGTGTTTTCCTAAGGTGGAAAAACGGAGTCGGAGGGAATGTACAGAGAAGGAGGAGAGGCTTTAAGTACGCTCATAGGTGTCTTAGCCCAACCACCAAGGCATAGTGCGTCAGCTCAGTGTAGCGGAGCAGGCCTCACGGTGAACCTCCAGCCACTAATTTCCTCTTGGTTGACGCTCTCTGCGTCTAACCTCTTGTCACTTAACTTGAAGAGAAGATACTGAGACTCACAGGAAAGTTAGCCCCCAGAGCAACTCTGAGGCACACAGGTAGTTAACCCAAGAGAGCCAGAGCTCTACGTGGAACATAGGGTTTGCGCTGCTGCATCCAGCTGTGGTTTTCAGCTTTGGGGAATTTGGAAGGGTACAAGTGACCGTCCTGTCTCCTATCCCCTGTTTGTTTTGTTTCCTCTACAAAGGCGTCATGACATCTTTTACATGCTATTTTTCCTTCTGTAGCCTGGGCAAATTTGCCACCATTTCAAGCACTGCACAGGCAGGGGTGTGGCTTATAAAAATGGGCCAGGACACAAGCCTAAGAGGGCCTGCTCTGAGGGAAAAAAAAAAACCCTGCCTTTCTCCTTCAAGCAAGTAAAGTGAATTTGGTTAAACAAAAACCAGGCTCTGGGAGAGGGATTCACAGCTAAGGGAAAGACATGTTTGTTGGTATCTCTGAGGGGGGGCTTCCAATAATCAGCACCCCTTCCTTCTACCTGGGTTTGGAATGAGTTGAGAAATAAAACAGCAGTTCAGCAATTCAGTTCCAGTTGCCATAGAGTCGGCCTCCAACTCATGACAACCCCATGTGTGTCAGAGTAGAACTGTTTTCCATAGGGTTTTCAGTGGCTGATTTTTCACAAGTAGATCACCAGGCCTTTCTTCTGAGGCCCTCTGGGTGGAATGGAGCAGTGAGCAGCTGAGGGCATTAACTGTTTGCAGCGCCCAGGGGTATAGTTGAAGCTAAAGGATAGAGCTGCATTGGAAGATGTAACTTCGTGTGTGAGCTGCTGGGGTGTGCCATGCTGGAGCAGGCTAGGCCACATGGCTGCCTTTGGAGGAGCAGGGTGGGATAAGTCCTGTCTGGCGATAGGCCCTTCCAGGAGAAAGAAGGAGGGCAAAGGTGAGAAGAATGCCCAATCAAGTAAGTTGCTTCACTCCCAGGGGCAAAGTAGGCAAAGAGAAAGTTTTGCTCCCTGAAGATAGAAAGGAAGCACCAAGAATGCAGAAGAAACTGCTGCCCTGCTGCCCTCCCCGTGACAGTACTGACAGAGGGCCTCCTGGAAGGGAACTCAGCACATCTCTGGCTCACACAGGAAGGAAAGGGACACCCTGGGATCCCGGGCTGCAAAGCCTCCCTGCTCCAGCCCATCAAGGGTGGGAGGAGAACGCTGTGATTGAGAGGAGGGACCCAGTGGCCACCCTCAGCCTTGCACACATACCCTTGAACTCTCCTTACCTTGGGATAGAGGCACAGCTGTCCTCACCTGTTGTCCAGAAGAATAAACACTTATGTCCAGGGTCCCTTGCCCCAGCTGTCTGGGTGAGCCTCTGCTACATGCAGGGGAAGGGACCCTTGCAGCGAACCAAAGGGCACAGGTTCAGGTCTCAGGACCCAAGTGACCTCAAGGAGCCCAGAAGTCTCCCTAGTAACATCGTGGGAACAGCCGTGGTGCTGTGAGATCCCAGCTCATCTTCATAAAGGCATGAGGGCTATTCTTTCTGCAAATAGTGAGTGAGCCCTACCGGCTGCCTGGAGCTGAAAGACGCACAGGCAGGGGTCATGTCAGGTTCATCCAGTGCCCTCTCCCCAGTCCTAGCCCGGGGCCTGCACATAGCAGGCTCTCGGGAAGTGTGGTTGAACCAATGAGTGCACTGTGTATGTGCTGGCCATGCAAGAGTGAACAAGGCAGCAGAGCTCCTTGTTTTTACCCAGCAGAGTTGAGGGCTGGGACACCGCAGCAGGGGTTAGGCCGGCCTCAGGGAGAAAGTGAGAGGTTGCTGCCACAACATGCAGGAGGAAGAGCATAAGTTCACATGGATGCCTCCAGCCACTCACCCATCCTCTTGCTTTCTAGGAAAACTCTCCCTGGAAGAGTTCATCCGGGGGGCCAAAAGTGACCCGTCCATCGTGCGCCTCCTGCAGTGTGACCCGAGCAGCGCTGGCCAGTTCTGAAATCCCCCCAGTGAATCCCAGAGCTGCTCAAGTTCTCGTTTGAGTTTTCTTTTTTTTTTTTTTGCCAAGTAATATTGATGGTGATGCTGTCCTCTGTGCAACCAGATGAGCCTTCCTCTGTGACGCCTTCTGCTTCTTTTGTCGTGGATGCTTCGTGGGAATGCCCAGTGCTCCAGTGTGCTTGTGGAGAGCATGGACTGTGCTGTTGTACACAGACTTTGCGGTGTTCTTTGTTCCAACGATGCTTAATCATCATTATTGTTATTTTTTTTCTCTTTCTATTCTAATGTCTATTCTGAAACCAAGACTTGATGGGGCAAGCGAAGGGAACAAATCTAGCCCAGTGATTCTACTGCAAGCTTTGAGGGACTTGTTTGAAAGACGGAAACGCCTGCCTGGGTGGTTGTCACACACACCCTAGAGGTGATGGACTCCCCAAGAACAAGCTACCCTCTGGGTCAAGGCTATTAAAGGGACCTGGGGAATTCTTCTGTGGAGGCTCACTCTACCCTCTTCCTCAGAAGGCTATAGTTTCTAAGCTGTGAACATTGTAAGGTAAATAAATAGAAGAAGAGGAAAAAGATGGCTCAGCTATTTTTTTCACAAGTTTACATTGGTTGAGCTGATATGAGTTTCTTTGGAAATTAAACACAAATGGTAACTTATATTCCAAAACAAGACCCATCTTGTTGCCTATTGTGATTAAAAAAAAAAAAAAAAAAAAAAAGACTACTGTATATAAAATATTGGGTATTGTAGACCAAATTAAGTATTTTGCCTTGTTTAAATGAAATGCATGTTTAGTGAGCACTAATACAATCTTATTCCAGATGACTGTTTGTAGTAGCTTATTGTGAAGTAAGCCAGTTATAATGAATGTCTATGTCTTGTTTTAAAGTCTTATCTGTCTTTGCACAAATGCACCAATCAATACGTATATTTTAGATATTCCAGGAAAGGAAAAAGTAACCATGACTAAGGCCCAACCTTAATTTTGAATGGTTTTCCAGAGTGGCGGAGCCTGACGAATGGCAGGGCAGGTGCAAATGGGACATATCCACTGGAGCGCCAGAAAGTTAAATATGAGAGAGAAGAGGCTAGTGGTCTGCTCACCCTGCCCATCAGCTCATTGGCAGCCTTAGATTGGAGACGTCATGTTTTTCTGAATATTCTGCAGACCTGAAAAAAACAGTATGAATTCTCAGGATCTCCCAGTGGTTCAACCTACATGCATGGTTAGGGTGCCATATTTAGAATTTTCTCTTTTCCGTGCCCCCAATACCCTTCAAAGAGTCAAAGTTGAGCAGCTGATTCATGGTAAAGATGGCTTGGGCAAGTGCTGCAGTGGTTTCCAAGGCCCACTATGAGGAATCCAATAGTATTTTCCATCACTATGTTCTTTGAATATAGACTTCTATTTCCAGAAGTGACAGCACAAGTTGAAATGCCCCATAGAGTTTTCAAGGAGTGCCTGGTGGATTTGAACTGCTGACCTTTCGGTTAGCAGCTGTAACACTTAACCACTATGCCACCAGAGTTTCCCTGGTGACCCAGCATACACTAATTTGAACTGAAGGCAAAGAGTAAAAATTGCTGATCATAGACAAGTTACATTCTTACAAACAGAGGCTCCAACACTCAAGGATATAGATGGGGGAACTGCTACAAGAGAAGGCAGAGAGGTCCCCAGTGGGTCTCTCTGCTGCCAAGGTATTTCCTGTAGAATGTGAACCACAGGAAGATAAACCTAATAAAAACAAGGAAAATGATACTGAGTCCATTCTAACCTCCATGTTCTTGTGTATTACTTGAGTCCATTTTAGCTGGTAACAAAAATCCAAATTGATATGGTTGACCAAACTGAACCAACTCTGCAGGTAGAATTTTGAGACCCAGACTCAGTAAAAGAATTTTCATAATCTTCCTCTGAGTGTCAGTTCCTCATGGTAGTTCTACACCAAGAATTTCCAAATTTCTTCATGGACCAAGCAGTCAAATCTGGTTTGGAAAAACAGGGAATTAATGTAAGACAGGGAGTGCAGAGTGCGTGAGGGCCGGCATGCTCTATTGATAGTATTCCAGGAATTGCCTCTCACTTTTTCCTGCTCTCAGTTGAGGACTTAATTCCTCCTTTTAATTCTCTTTGCATGAGTGGAATCAGTTAATATTTGGAAAAGCCTGCCTGGGCTCTGCCACTGGTTATGATATCTTGTTGAGCCAGACTCACTCTGTCCCCTGGAACCCAGAGCTGGAGTGGGGAGCAGAGAGGAGGGTCTCCAGCTGTTCAGGAAAGAAAAAAGAGCCAGATACATGGCTAATGAACACCGACACTCCCCAGAATGTACTGACATAGTCCTCATCCTGGCCTGCCGCTGACCCTGTCTGTACTTTCTCAAGGGTTGGTTTTCTCTTTTCCTTTCTTCCAAGGAAGGCCTTTGTATGTCTTTAATTCAGTGCACTCAAGTTTGTCCAAGGAACTCTGCAGCGCCCAGAAGGCTAAATGCCTAAAAGTTTATGTCACTCCCATACTGGGCTGTTCATTGTCATTGTTGTGTTCAGGGACCTCTAGAAATAGAGTCTGTTCCGTCTGAAATAAAGTCAGCCTATGATGTTCAAGGCACTGAAATAAAGTGGCTTACAACCTGAAGGACTCTACAGAGTGCTCAGCTGTTTCATACCTTTCTTTGGGGTGAGGAAGGGATCCTGAGGGCACTGTCCTATTGGTATGCCCCAGGGATGACTTGTCTATATGTGGATCTAATAGTATATATTTATCAATCACATCACATGGAGTGGCCCCTGTATCGGTCAATTTTGTGTCACTCTCTTGTCTGGCATTAAAGCATGTTTATTGTTTAATATGATTGCCTGGAACATGAGATTTTCATGCCTAAACTGCTGCCTCAGCTGAACCTGTACCTTATTGGGGCTCCAGGTCCTGATACTGGCCTCCTCCTGGGTAGTTTCTGCCCTAGAGGGACACAGGAACCATGGTCTGTGAATGGAGGGTTGGTTGTGGCAGCCAATGAGGCACCCTTTCAGACCTTCCTTTAAAGAACCTGCTGTGAGGAGCACAGTGGATCGACAGCTCCAGCTGCCACATCTTTAGATCCACCTCGATATTTACTCTGAGGGCCTGCTCACCTGAAGCTCCCAGTCAATGACTGGACATAGGGGGAGGGTATTAGAACTGGGTCATTCTTGCCCATGGTGGGACCCTTCCAGTGGGTGGCCTTTGCATAGGGACTCCCCATTGGCCTGGCTAAGACTTTGTTATAATTGTGCTGTGGTCTGAGGCTCTTCCCACCCAATCCGCCTTCCTTCCCTCTCACCTTTCACAGGTGTCAGACCTTCCTTGCAGTCTGCAGGCTCACCCTATCTTTCTCTTTTCTCCTTTATCCTTCACAAGCATTTCTCCCAATGTATCTACTTTAGGGGTCCTGAAGTGACACAGTGATCCTGGTTGATGCCCCAGAAACAGGGCTCAGACACTCGAGTTGGCAGCCTTCTCAAAGCTCAGATTTGGTGGCCTCTCATTACAATGTGAATGTGTAAAGGCAAGAAGGGTTTGTATTAGGATTAGGGTGATGAAAGAACCCTGACTGTCCGAGAGCAAACCTCTATTATTATGCTCATTGAGGATACCAGAACATTATCACTACATAACTCCTCCTTTGGAGGAAGACTGCATCTAACTCTCCACCCCTCCCCCAACCCCCTGTCTATCACAGTGCCTGGTCTATGGTAACTGAACTAATATATAGGGAGGAAAACAAGAGCTGGTAACAGATCCTGTGGCACTGATAATTGGTCATCCTTGACTACCCAACCAGGTCTCAAGTATAAGGAGGTGTGTGGGGGTGGCATACATGGTGAGCAGAGTTCATCAAACAGCAGGACTGTGGCTGGCACAGGCTGAGGGAAGGAAAGCCTTGGGGAGATATGGAGACCAGCTCCCATACCCAGCAGGTCTGTGGACAGTGCACTGCAACATCCTATTAAGGCTGTGGAACATGGATTATGGCCAAAAGGCCATATGGTCCCATTTCTGGTCTCATGATTGCTCCAGAAGTCTCCTCAATAAGCACTTGCCCAAGCCTCCTCTTCCCTGCCCACTGGTCCAGGCATAAAGGCTGCTGGGGATACATTGGGTTGGAGTTAGTCAGGGAAAGCTTCCTGAAGGCAAATTTTCAGCCAAGATTGCAAGCTGTGGACATAGAGAGATAAAGTGAGATGTGGAAGAACATAGAAATGATACGCGTTTCCAACAGAGGGAGTCGGGAAGATAATCATGGATAATGGTTAAAGGAATGTATGTGAAGGTTAGTGGGGTGAATGGCCACTGATGAAACACCAATAAACACTGGAATAGCAATCAAGGTGTTTGGATTTGCGCCCGAGAGAGACTAGGGATGCTGGGCATTCCAGAGGAGATGGTTTGTGATGAAATTGGAGTTTGAGCCATATGGCTAGCCTCTATATAGAGGTTGGCCCAGATGGACTAAGGTACCAGAAAGGTCCTTTTCTCATTTGGAGCCCTGGTGGTGCAGTGGTTAAGAGTTCGGCTGCTAACCAAAAGGTTGTACCTTGAAATCCACAAGCTGCTCCTTGGAAACTGTATGGGGCAGTTCTACTCTGTCCTATAGGGTCACTATGAGTCATAATTGACTCGACGGCAACAGATTCTGCTTATTTAGGAGTCCCTGGTTGGTGCAAAAGGTTAATATGCTCAGCTGCTAACCAAAAGGTTGGAGGTTCAAGTCCATCCAGAGATGTCTTGGAAGAAAGGCTTGGTGATGATCTACTTCCAAAGGAGTACAGTTCTACTCACACACAGGACTGCCATGAGTCGAAGCTGGCTTTTTTTAATCTCATTTAACCTTGAAGTGGGGCCCAGCACTAAGAGGAAACACCCTCTGTGTTCAAGGCCAGGGCCAGAAGGTGCCCAGGGGAGCCCAAGATCTACCGGGTCACAGCAGGGGCTTCCCCCCAAATCAGGCAAAGAGCCCAACACCCACCGTGCAGAAAGCACCAGACACTGTTGTTTACTCTGATGTTATGAATATTTATTTTTTTCTTCTTAAAAATGTACAAAAAATAAAATAACTATTTATAGATTCCCCCTCTCCCATTTACAAAACTATTAAGTTACATTTACCTTTTTGTTTTAACGTGAGAGCAAATTGTACATATGTCAATCTCCCTTGCTTATCTTTAAGAAAGGGCCGTTCGTAGAATTTGGCACAAACCCTCTATTTCTCTTGCATTTCCACGATTTTAAATAAGAAGGAAAATAAACATTTGATCATTTCATGCTTCCTAAGTCTCTGGTCTGGGATGTGTCTTTGTCTTTTAGGAACTAATTCCAAGGTGACATCTGATTGCGTTATTCTGTTGATCCCAATTTCCAAATATTTGTAAAGTCTAACCAATTTGGGGATGTATAAGAAAAGCACTTGCTTCACGTGTCCCCCGTCTTCCATGGTTGAAAAAGCTTATTTATTGAGTGTGACTAATTTAAGGGACAAAAAAGGAAGAGGAGGCAGGTTTTACTATCTTTCTGGAGTGTTTTTACTTGGTAATTTTTGTATGACAGGATTCATCAAAGCTCTGCTAATATACAAAGGGAAGGATGCATTAAAGCTAAGCCATGGAAGCTCCAAGGAAGCAGGCAGGGGGTGGGGGGAAGTTAGATGGAGGGTTGGAAGGTAAAGATGGGGGACCAATGGGAGGTAACACTCAGCACCAACCCTTGGTGGCCTCATACACTTTGTTCTGGCAATGACTGCTCAGGGGCTTAGGACAAATGCAAAAGCATCTCTGATTTGTCCGGCCTTAGGGCAGGCCCAGCAAACAGTTGTCCAAAGAGGCTGGAGGGAGAAGGGTAAGTAGCCTGCACCAGGCTACAAAATAATTTGTTTGTGCCTCCCTTACTCTGGAGTCCTATGCCCCGGCCCAATCATATTGGTCATTACATCTGCCAACCATGTTTGAAATCATATTTAGCCCAAGGAGCATGGGAAGTGCATAGTACATCACATATTTCCAACACTGAATTTGTCCATCTTAGAGCACAGTCCCATTTGTACCCAGGATGGTACCCAGGCTGCCAGTCCAGGGCATGGAGGTCACTGAGTAGAGGAGGAGGGGACAGAGTTGGAGCAGAGTGGAATCCAGGAAGCAAACCCTTGGCACCACAGGGAGGGGTAATGTGCCCACAGGACACACAGAAAGGTGCCCCCTGACCCCCACCCAGAGACCTTCTTGGACACAGCACCTGCTCTCCAGTCCATGAAATTGCTCTGCAGCATCAGGGAGAAACAGCAGTGCTGGCAGCAGCCCTCCACCCTGCTCTGGGCCTCAGGACAGATGAACTGAAGGGGCAGGGAGTCCTGAGAGGGGCCTTCAGGTAAGACGTCAAAGTGCTTTACAAACAATCTGGGCCTTTACATAGAACTTGCCCTAGATAGGGGCCTAGGGTGGGGGGATGTGTCAGGCTACCCAAAAGCTAGTGCTTCAATCTTTAAGGGTGTTTACAAACCCCTTGACCACCTACCTGTCCTCTCAAAGAGAACAGTGGCCCACCACATTTCATGACCGTGTGTTTGTTTAGGAATCGTTTCTTTTCCTCTTCATCTCCCAGGCAGGTAGCAGGTGTGCAAGCATTTGCTGCCCCTGGCCACCTCCTGAGGCTGGTGGCAGAACAGCAGGGGCTCCTGGGGCGTTCTCACCTACTCACCCTGAGCAGCCACCCAGGAGCAGCTAATCCCTCCTTTTTCAGCGCCTCTGGCAGAGGAGGCCCAAGAGGAAGCCGTGGCCTACTGGTGGCAGCTGAGCTGTTGGCACTGCTCTGAGAACTGCAGTTGAGCTAAAGGAGCCACTTGAGATGAAGGATGTGCTTGTAAACTGTTAGGCTCAGTGTCCAGGATTCCCATCATCACCAAGCAGTTCTGCAGCCAGCCCCAGCAACAGGGCCCTGATGGCAAAATCCTGGCAGAGTCCTCTCCAAAAAGCTCCGGTAGTGCCCAGCACCAGCCCTGGAGAAGGAGCTGGAACATCCGGCGATATGACCTTTCTCAGAGACAGCTCAGAGGAAGAGTCAAGCGAAGCGCATCACCAAGAGATAAATGTGGCGGCCTTGAGGGCGAGTCGTGGTCATGAAGAAGGAAAGGGGCTTCCTCTGCGGACAAGGAACATGTCCCAGGGAATGCCCACTCAAGAGTCCATCTTGGCACCTTCCACAGTCCCCTGACACCCCAAAGGTCACTTCCCCAGCCCAGGACACCTCCTCAATAGGTACGGAGCCAGAAAGCCAAGTCTCAAGGTATGTGCCTCCCCTAGGACAGTGGCAGTAAACATGCCCACATACCATAGGTAAAATATATTATTGCAATATTATAAACAATATGTACATGATAGTCAGGCATACTTGCTTTGTCACCTTCTAATTACATTGTAGCAGAATGTCTTCCTGTACAAGTCCACATGGCCACTTGCTAGGAACCCCTAGAGGTATTTAGCAAGATGACCTTCCCTAGAGCAATCTGAAGGTTTTTGACCAGTAAGGGGGACATCTACCTCTTACCCCATCTGTGACTACTGTACCAAGAAGTAGCTCATTTGGTCCAGCCACTCAGGAGATGTGGGGAGGTGAGAAAGAAGTAGAGAGAATGTTTCAGGCTCTCTGGGATGAATTGATTGGCTGTGTATCCCTTGAAGGGGAGGGCTCTGGACGGTCTGATCTGGGGCCAGCAGTGACCTGCAGAGTCCTGGACTCCAGGCTCTGGGAAAAGGTGGGCAATAAATAAGGATCTGAGAGGCCCAAGGCACCGTCCTGAGGGCCGCAGGCTTCAGCTCCACGGGACGCCCCCTGGTGGATAGGACAAATATACTGACAACAAATGGGCCTTTGTTCCTTGCCCCACTGCCCAGCGCAGTCTTGTAACAGCAATTGTGAGATGGGTGAGTTGAGTCTGCGTTTCTGGGGTCGAGGCCTCTGTCTCTCCCGGGGATGAAGGTGCTGAGAGCTCCTGCTGAAGGACTGCCAGGACCAGGGCTCAGATTTCCATGAGCGTGATCTTGAAGCCTTCCACCATGCTCTCCATGTTGAGGATGAAAGTGTCCTCATTCGAGTAATGCTCGATGATGTTGTCGTCCATGTTCACCAAGATGCTGTGACGTGGGGAGAGGGGGTAAAAGACAAAGACTGTCATGAGCAGTGCGCCCAGTGCAAGGACGACTCCCGTGCTGTGGTTCCCTTAGCCATTCTTTTGCAGTGAAGGCTGGGAGGGGTGGAGGAAAGAGGAGACAAGGCAGGAAAAGAAGACCCTCATTCTCTTTCCGCAGAAACCAGTTTTCAAGTAAGCAGAGAGATTTACAGGAAAGCCTCTGTTTCTCAAAACTAATCTCATCACCGATAACTTTCGTACGACTTCAGAGTAAAAACTGAGGTCCAGAAAAGTTACTTGAACCCGAAATCATGGAGTTAACTAGTGCCAGAGCAGAACCTACATACTTAGGTTCCCTAACTATTTTTATTAAACCATATTGCCCTTCAAAATGCATTTGAGAAAGCACTCTACTCTTAGGAGGAAAAGGAAAATAAACAGCAATTGTAGCTACCCTTTGCTGAGTACATAATATGTGTCACTGTTTTAGAGAACTTGTATTTACTCCTCAAGGCAACCTCCAAGGTGCCATCACTGCCATTTGCAAGTGAGAAAACTAAGCCGAGTAAGGTTAAATCATTTCCCCCAAGTTCAGTCAGCTTTGCAAATGATTCATGTACTTGGCTACTAACCAAAAGGTTGGTGATTGGAGTCCACCCAGAGGTGCCTTGGAAGAAAGGCCTGGCAATCTACTGCTGAAAAATCAGCCATTGAAAACCCTATGGAGTACAGTTCTACTCTGACACACAGGGAGTCACCATGAGTCAGAGCTGACTCAAAAGCAACTGGTTTACCTACACCTTAGCTAACTCTATTCCCAGTGGATTTAGTTTTAAGAAAACCAACAAATTCCAGGGTCTATCCAGGATTTAGAATGCCTTGAGCCACTCCCATTCTTGGCAGTCTGGCAGCTCTTAGTTTGAAAATAAGAACTATCATTTTACAGCTATGTGTCTTCAGACAAGTTGTTCAGCCTTTCAGAGCCTCGGTTTATTCTTTTGCAAAAACAGTAATAACAACCCAGCTTTATAGGGTTGTTGTTAGGATTAGAGCATTTAGCACAGGGCCTGACCCAGGGCTCAATGAAAGCTAAATGTTATTATCATCGGCAGGTTCATCTACACTGACGACTTTTACTCAGCAGTAAGACCTTGAGACACTGCTCAGGTCTCGCCATCAAAGGAATTCACTCAGCCTGTTGCATGGACCTTGGAAAAAAACTATTAAAAAAAGCATTTTAGTGAGCTTTCCAACAAGGACTGAAGTGGAAAGGTTCAGCCAAGAGATCTGGGCACTCCAGGTAATGCTTCCTTTAGTAAAGAGGCCCAGAGACGATTAATTTCTGCTTTTTGTAGAAAAATAGTTCCAGAAGCTGACTCAGTGGAGACCCTCTCCTGGCACTCAGTCCAGGTCCTGCAGCCACTACGCTCAGAATCTCAAAAACAGGGGTCCCAGGAGGGCTCAGAGGTAGTCAAAGAGCAAACGTGACAGGTAAGAATGTAAACTTTCCAACCACAGGCCTGGCTTCAAATCTGTCCTTCTACTTACTGACCAGGAGACCTAGGGCAAGGCGCTCAACATCCCTCTGGCTCAATTTCCTTGTCAGTAAGTTAGACATCTACCGAATACTCAATAAATGAGACTTATCATTCTTAACAATGAGAGCTAGCAAGTCTGCTGATAATTTGAGATCATTTTGAAGGCTGGGAGAATCCCCTATGCCCTGTGCCCTTTTTGTTCCCACTGTGCCACCCTGAAACAAAACTTGAGAGCAGCATGTGATCCCTGTAAACTTCACTGTCTGCAGAGGGGTGACTTGGCATTGTCCCCAGTGTCCTCCCCACCCCAGCCCCCTCTATCCCACCCGATTATTGGCAAAGGGCAACTCAGCTGACTTCAGGACAATGCACTTTCTCCCTCCCTCCCTCTCTCACTGAAGATCTTCAAAATGTTTGCATTTGCATGCTGCTCTGTGATCATCTGAGGCATGAGGCACAATTTTTATTAAAGTTGGACAACAAATATAAAAAAAAGCCACCATCTCTTTTTTAAAAGGCATCATACAGATTTATCTGATTTGAAGTAAATTTAAGCTCAGTTTCTTTCTTACCCTTTTTTGCTTTTCTTGTAAAGTTTTGCAATCTTCTCCACTGGCAGCCCATATTTCTCAGATATCTGTAACAACAATGGCAGAAGGCAGATGAGCGTGGCAAGGGAGCACAGGCAAAGGCAAGAGACAGAGTTCCTATTTCAGTCTCATGGAGACTTTCTTGGGGGCCAAGGCTCTTCATGCATGAGTCAAACTCTGAAAACACCTTATCTGTGAGGCTCTCTTACAAATCTTAAATCATTCAACAAAAGATTCAACCACATGGGAATTTAATCTATGATAAAGGTGGCATTTAAAATCAGTCAGAAAAAGATGGACTCTATCACATTGGATTAAATACGTAGCCATATAGAAAAAGAAGTTTCAAAGTTAAACTGGATCCCACTCCTTACACCAAAATAAATTTCAAAGGGATCGACGATTAACATATGAAAGATGAAATCATAAAAGTACCAGAAGAATACATGAATCAATTCTTTGTACATCTGTCATCTTAAGGTAAGGAAGCGCTTTCTAAGCAAAATATGAAACCTGAAGAACCAGGTAAAAAGGTGGATGAGAACAACATAGACTTTAAAAATACCAGTATTGTAAAAATCAGCATAAAAAGACAAAGACAAATAATATACTAGAAACATTTTTGCAGCACAAACGACAGACGTGGAACTAACTTCCATCGCTTACGAAAGACTCCTGCAAGTCAATAAGAAAATGACTCACGACCCAATGAAAAAATAAAGAAAACAACATGAAGAAGCAATTCAGAGGGAAAAAAAAAATTGGCCAAGAAGCATATGAAAAAATGCACTCCTTCATGAAGTTAAAATACGAAATTAAAGCACTAACGAGATGCTACTTTTAACTTCTCAGGCTAACAAAAACTAAAATACTAATAATACAGCATCAGCAAGAGTGTGCGAAATGGCAGCTCTCATATTGCACAGACGAGAGAGTAACAAGCCCAACCATTTAGGAGGATAATTTGACAGAAGCTATTAAAATTTAAAATGCGTATATCCTTTGATCCAGATACTCCACATCTAGTAACCTATCCAGTCTACGGAAATATACTCAGATGTACACAAAGATTTTCAAAGCATCACCATTTGTAACAGAAAAACTGTATATAACAAAGTGCATTCAACACATTTTAATATTTTCGCAGCTGAAAACCGTGTAGGCATTAAAAGAAATGGGGGAAGCCTACATGAGTTAACATGAAAAAAGTTGGTGACATTAAGTGAACAATATGCCAATGTGTATAATGTGATCCCATTTGTATTAAAAAATGTATATATGTAAATATATAGAAAACATTTGAAGAACCCACCAATCTATTAACAGTGACTACCCTTGGGGAATGGACAGAAACAAGGAGATTCTTTTAGTTTTCACTTTCTACAAACCTGTACTAGTTATTTCATTTATACAGTGATTACATCTCCCTTTTATGAACACACAGCAATAATAGTTTGAGAGATGCATTCTGGAAAGACCTGCCCTACATGCCTTTCCCACCACCTGTTTGTCTGTTTGTTGTACTGTGGTGGCTTGCAAGTTGCTGTGATGCTGGAAGCTATGTCACTGGTATTTCAAATACCAGCAGAGTCACCCATCATGGACAAGTTGCAGCAGAGCTTCCAGACTAAGACATAATAGGCCTTTTTCTGTGCAGCATCAACAAGACCACATTTGTTAGTTCTCCCTTTTCTAAAAGATGTGAATCTGATTCTTGAGTCTTTTCAGGGAGGATGAATTTGGTTGGAGCTTCATCTCCATTATTAGCCCAGCTGCCCCACACCTGAACAAACATACCTCAGCTCACAAATCAGTAAGGGAACTATGCAAGGGGCATAAAACCTGCACAATTCAAGTTTCTACTTGGGTCTGCCGGGAGTAGCTGCAGCGGTCGCAGTAGGTGACACTTATTGAGTGCTTACTATGTGCTAGGCATTGTGCTGAGAACTCTTTGTCTATTAACTTGCTTAATCCTCACATCATTACACTGGAATAGGTACTATTAGGAGCCCCATTTCACAGATGAGGAAACTAAGGCTCACAGTCATTAAGTAACTTGGCCAGGGTCCCTCAGCTAATAAGGGCTGAGCCAGGATTCAAAAGGTGAGAACCTGGTACTCTGGCTTCAGATTCTGAACATTTAGAGAAAATTGGGCTGTGTTGTGACTATTCAGGAGAGAGGCTCACGGACCCTCCATCCCCCAGTACAAAGAAGCAGCTGGCAAAGTTCAAACATGTGCACCAGGCTGCTGAGGACAACAGTCTCCAGGAAGTCAGAGTCCTGCTCGCAGTGCAATCTTCAAAGGCGTGACATGGCACACTGAGATGGCGCCCTCTGCCCCCACATGAGGTTGGGGAGTGTGCTTTGCCAAACTCAAAACCCTGGAAAGATGTGAGACTGGGCAGGATACTATGTGGAGGACGCTGGCAGGGCTTACAGAAGAATTCCTTCTGCAGAGGAGCTCACATGGCCCTCCCTTCTATGCATGGAGAATACGTGCTAAATGATGCTTGATTCAACAGAGTTCCTTGAAAAATAGAGATTTTTTTTCTTAGTCACTGAGCATTGTCTCTCTCTCTCTGTTTTACTTCTGAAAAATATAAAACCCTACACATGAGGATATTATTTTGAAATTAAGAGTTGGAATGAAATATGGAGACTAGGGTTACACTGCCTTCACATTTTGTGGCTTTGCTCTAACGTGGGGCCTTATGGAGCACAAACATCATTTCTTGGGAACAATTTTCTGTTTCCTGGCTCAAGAGAGAAACTCCCCATGCAAATTTCTGAGTTTCAGACGCAGTTACTGTACCATTTCCACAGCTCCACCCCGCCTCTGAAATTTCAAATTAATGGGATGTTTACACCATGAAATCATAAGCCAAAATAACTTTCCATCTTTTGGACAATGTCTGTAGGAAGTCAAATATTTGAGATAGCTGAATCTAAGGAAAGAAGGAAGAAGTCTTCACACTCTGTCCGCTTTAGATCTGATTCCTACTACGAACATAATTTTATCAATAAACACTAAACTTTATGGGGTACTTAATATACACACCAAGGAGCCCTGGTGGTGCAATGGTCAAGCACTCAGCAGCTAACCAAAAGGTCAGTGGTTCAAACCTACCAGCTGCTCCGTGGGAGAAAAGACCTGGTGATCTGTTCCTGTAAAAGATGACAGCCTAGGAAACCCTGTGGGGCAGTTTTATTCTGTTCTATAATCACTATGAGTCTGAATCCCCTCGACGGTAAACAACAATATATACACCAGGAACCATGCAAGGAGTTGTATGTCTATATTGTATCAATTATTCCTCACAACAACCCTGTGAAGTTAGGTACTATTATTATTTCCATTTTAAGGATGGAGAAACGTGAGCTCAGAGAGGTTAAGCAACTTGCAGAGTCAGGATTTGAACACAAGTTTTCTGAGGCCAAAGCCCATATACTGACCCACTAAGCTATAGTGTTTCCCCATGTGCCTATTGGTAAGTGTCAGTGTGGGAGCAACGTCATACACCAGTGAAATTCCGGTTCTCAGAGAACCCATACCTTTTCTCACCCCACCCAGGTCCTATATAAAATTAGGAAACAACTACAGTGAGCAGGATCCTGGGTTCTTCACAATTCTGCCTTCTCACTTCACAGTGTGTTCAAATCTTCACTTAAATAGGACCTGTTGTCCTTAGTGGCTGCCCCCAAACTGCAGGAGCTGCCAATGGCATTCCTTTGGAGTTCACCACCAGGTTGCATTATCTGAAGATTCTGAGGAGACTCTCTTGCCTTTTTTCCCATCAACACAATTTAAGAAGCAAGGGCATACCATATTTCTTGCAAATAATGCACCCATGTGAATAACGCACTCACACATATAACATACATAGCACACCTAGGAAGATAATGCATGAGGAGGTTGCGTGGCTGGCAAAAAACGTATGTGATGGTTAAATTTGTGTGTCAACTTGGCCGGGCCATGAGTCTCAGTGGTTTGGCAGTTATGATGTAGTTTGGCAATCATATGATGATGTGATCACCTCCATGATGGGATCTGCTGTGAGTAGCCAATCAGTTGAAAGGGAGTTTCCTTGGAGGTGTGGCCTGCATCCAATATAGGTGGACTTTCTGGCAAGGCTTGCTGGCTTTTGCTCACTCTGGATCCTGCAACCGGGATCCTGCAACCGGCTCCTGTTTGTCTGACCTCCAGTTCTTGGGACTTGAGCTAGCAGATTACCTGAAGTCTTGCCTACCAATCTTAGGTTTGCCAGCTCCTACACCTACGTGAATGAGGAGAAGCCTCCAGCCCCTCCCAAGGACTTGGGACATTCCAGCCTCTACAACCACGTGAGCCATTTCCTCGATATAAATCTCTCTATATATATATTTATATGCTTTGCTGGTTTTGCTTTTCTAGAGAACCTAGCCTAAGACAACATATAATACATGCGTTATTTGCATAAAAATACAGTACTTAGTGTTAGTGTTTTAATAAAACTTTTTTTCCCCGAGACTTAATAAAGGAGAGATGAAATCAGAATTGCTTGGGATCTGACCAGAGCTAGCCTAGGGAACTTGACCTCTCCATGGCTTACAAGGCCAAATAATATTATGCATTGCTATTCGCTCCAACTTCCTCAGCAAGGCAGGTATAATGAGCTTCGGATGAAAAGTTCGACTCTCCTGGGGCAAGGAGTGTAGGCGGAGGTCATTGGCCTGCTGTCTGAGCGTAAGTGAGGGTGACGTTTTAACTCCACTGTGGTCCAGCAAGATCACAGGTGGGTCAGACTGTAAACTCCTGCAGAACACTTTAGAACTGGCCAGATGTCATGGAGGGGAAAGAGAAGACACCAAAGAGAAAGGCAGGATTGTAGGGTAATGAATCCGTTAGGAACTGGTCTAGATCGGTGGTTCTCACACCCACCTGATCTCAGAATACCCTGGGGAGCTTGTTAAAAAACACAGATTCCTGATCCTCCCACCCCCACCCCCACCCCTGTTCTGCAGAATCGGGATCTCTGGGAATATGCATTTTAAACAATTGCCCTGCTTATTTTCATATTCACCACTGTCCCAGGTAAGTCAGTTTCCATAATATGGCCTTAAAGGCCAAACTGGGGTTGTGAAATTATCCAAAGGATCCCAGAGAGGTCTGAATCTTTTATGAGCTTTTCTAGCTTATAAGTATTCATTCAAATAATTTTAGGGTCCAAAAATTCTGGTTCATTTAAAGAGATCTAGATCCTGCTTTTTGGTTCATGTTGGTTCATTTTTCATTTCTGTTTTATTGTTTCTTTCATTTGGGGCATGTTCAGTTGCAACAAACTCCATTCGAATGAAAAATCTTATAGAACAGAAAAGATTATCAAGTCCTAGATGATATTTCTTAAGAGTGTTGTCCTTGATGCTCTTGTTCAGAACTGCCTCGGGACTTGGTGGCAATGGGGTAGCAGAAACTCTGCGTTGGGAACATTCCTGTGCATTTTGATGTTTAGCACCAACCCTAGATGCTATTCCAACACAGCAGTTTTCCAGACCAAGACATGAATTTGAACTCTCTCTAGATGTCTTGCTGTGTCTACCACTTCAAAAAAACCTAGATCTTCTAAAAGACCAAAAAAAAAAAAAAAAAGAAAAAAGGAGAGGGGCTGGTTAGGAACCACATTCAAAGTGCAGTAATATTAAAGTCATATTCAGATGGAAAGGGGCTAGTAAAATAACTTTCCTTGAGCCCAGGTTGGCTAATACCAGACTAGATAGGGACTGAGGAGGGAGGGACTTCAGAATCTTTCTTCAAATCACTGTAATTCTGCAATATGTATATATTTTTTTAACCAAAAGAGGTCCTATTTTTTTTTGGATTACACTATCACAGCTAGTGACACCCTTCTTAACTGTTTTTGTTCTGTCTATATTTGGAAGTTAACATATCTAATTTGGTTTCACGCAAAGAGACAAATGAAAACTCACAAGGTAACCTTCCTCCATGGCATCTCACTCTGATTAGCCTTAAATTGGCAGGGACTTGGCAGTTGTTCAAATTTCCCTTCTCCTTAAGATACTAATAAACCACGACGGTATAGAAACCAGTGTCTGCACAAATCTCAGCTTCTTTTTTTTCTTTCTTTTGTTCCTCATAAAGCTCATTCTGACGCAATCTCGATGGGTACATTTTCATAAATGGATTCCAGCCAAGGAGAATACAAACCAGCATCTGGAGGTTTAGCGCTTACCGCTTCCATCAGGCCCTTCACCGTGGGAGATTTCAACATCAAAGCGTCGAACACATCGTCGGTCTCTTTCCTCACATACAGAAGCACTGGAAGAGAAAGAAGGGGGGAAAGCTGTCTGACTGAAGGAGCCTACACAATCCCACAGCTGCCACAGGGCGCTGTGTCCTCTTACACAGGTGTTGGAAGCGGACACCACCGTCAGACCCCAGACCCCGGCTCAGACAATATCCTCCAAGGGTGCCTGAGGTGCCCACAACATGTGACAAGGGACTGGTAAGGAGATGATTTGATGAAATAAGTTGATAATTGCATAACACCTAATAGGCTACAAGACACTTTGACACATATTCACATACAAATTTCTCAAGATGGGGACACGATCTCTTCATGACATCTCTTTCTGTAACCTATTTCTTCCATTTAATCATCTGTTGCTTCAAAAAATATTATTGAATATCCATCAGGGCCCCTATGTACCAGGCTCCCTCCATGTGCTAGGAGCTGGGGTTGCAGCAATGACTTAAGACACGGGTCCTGCCCTTAAGGACTTTGCAGTCCGCTTGGAGAGGAAGGCATTCCGCAAATCAATAGAGAAACCAGCACACAGTTATAAGGGTTATGAAGGAAAAGAACACAAGTGAGTACTTACAGTAGCCTGACCTTGTCAGAAGCTCCTCCTCTACCTTGAAGAAGGTGTAGGCATCAATGCAAGCAGGAGGGGGGCAGAGAGAAGATGGGTAGAAAAAAGTTCAGGCAGATGACTAGCCTGTGTACAGGCCTGAAGCAGGAGGGGATGATGCCCCGTCAGAGGCAGGTGGACAAAGAGGCAGGGATTTGGGGTACAACAGTCCTGGGTATGACCCCATTTCAGCTACTGCTGTGGGGCCTATTTAACCTCTCCAAGCCTCATTTTCTCCATGAAACAGGGATAATAATACCTATGTCATGGGGTTGCTATGAGGGGGCAATGGAATTATGTGCATGTGAAATGCTTAGCCCAGGGCCCTGACACACAATAAGCACCCAGTACGCAATCTGTGGGTGCTATTATGAACCAACTGGCATGGTTCTAACGCCCTGAGACGTTTATGCAAATAGAGGATTCTGTCATTTCTCTGTAAGATACCATTCTGAATTTGAGAATTTACAGAACGTGAGAGATGGTAGGGACCACAGTTACCATTAGAGACAAGCAAACTGAGCTTCAGAGAGGCTAAGACACTCCCATAGGGACCCACAGAGCAATGGTTACTGGCTGCTGCTTCTGCTTGCCGTTGTCCTCCCTAAAAGAATTTTGAATCCTCCATTCAGACGCAACCCTCTGGTCCCAATGTGCTAACTGCCTTTCTCTCTCCCTCCCCCCCGGTGAGGTCACTCCTGCTTCTTAAGTCACGGGGAGGAAAGGGCCAAGGCTGAAGCTCCATGCACCTGGCCACCACAGGAAGAAAGCATGGACCAAACCAACCTCATGCTGAGGCTGGTTCCCATCAAATACCAACTGAGCTACAGTCACCATTGACCAGAAGAATGAAGCTGGAACTCCTTCTCTACTTCTGAGGGAAAGGAAGTCAGCTCTCACCCAAACTCCCATTCCCTCTCCCTCTCCTCCCCAGTCCCCAAGGATTTTGTTAAAGCTGCTTGCTTTACAAAGGCAAAGTCTATGAGGTGCAGATGGGTTCTGCCTGCATTTTCTCTCTGCAGCCAGCTGAATGTTCAGCGTGTATATTACCAAAAAAAAAAAAAAAACTAAAGTATTACAGAATTTCATTTATTCTCTTTACCAAATATGGAATACAAATTAAATGAACTAATTGAATATCTTCAAAGATTTCCAAATTTCGTTCTTTGGAAGTAATATTTTATATCCTCCATTCAGCTAAAATGATCTAGTGACCTAATGGGGCATTATAGGAGAACTCGGTATGAGCTGTATAGGAACTAATTAGACCACAGGATGAGGGAAATTTTTTAATGAAAATTAAAAAATAAAAAAATAATTGGTGGCTGTTACAGATGAACATTCTATAGCTTCCTCCTCTGGCCCTCAATAGAAAAATGTAATTTCCAGCAGGATGACCCTCAGGAACTCCCAAACCTTGTTCTATTAAAATAAGTACCACTCCCACTAGATTTACAAATCTCTTCTTTTAAAATCGTTGTCTTTGAAATAGTATAGCTGCTGTTTCTTGTAACAGCAGCTGCTGGAAAGGGTTGGAGGTGGCACTGTGCTGATGTTGACAGGTTGTGGGAGAAACCCAGGCAGGGCAGTGCCACCGTTCTCCTGCTGGGCTTGCTGACAGCCCCACCCCGGACATGCTGAGTTGATGGCACACCCCCGGTGGCTGGCCCAGAGGTGGCTTTCATTAGCTCAGCGTCTCTGGCGGCATAATGGTAATAAGTCCTTTGCCGACTGTAGCAATAGCAGCCATCACACATCACAGACATCGCACAGCCGAAGGCAGATGGCAACATGAGATAGCTCCCAGTGACTCCCAACTGAGCCACCCTGAGAAGGGGCTACAAAGCCAAGACCAGCAGACAATAATGACATGGGTGACTGGTACAATCACGCTCCTGCCTGGAGAATTTCTAACGAATGAACAACAGGGGCCGTCACTGAGCCGGACTCCCCCTGGCTGTCAAGTGTCAGCTGAGAGACAGGGCATCAGGCAGGGGCTTGGCGACCCCACTGTCCTTTTCCAGAGAAAACAGTCACTCTTAAGAAAAAGTTTTCCGTATTGCTGGTAGGTTACAGCGCCCCCATGTGTCTCTATGATTTAGATATCTCAAAGGCCACAGCCTAGCTTTTAGCCACAGCCCAATATATCTCCTAATGGCAATTTTTGTGCTGGCTTTGAGATCTCAAAATAATTTGCAAAACCCCTAGCCCTGGAACTAGCCACCGGGCAATAGATATGGCTGCGAGTGACAATTATTTTCGCTTGTGTGATCCTTGATATCCATGTAACTCTGCCCATTGCAACGTATAACGTATAGAAGACATGCAGGAATGGAGTTCATAACGCATTCAAATATCTGATGGAGAGTCTGCGAAGTCAGAAAATCTTTTAAAAGTTTAAATGATTGCTAATGTAATAACACTACCTAGGCATTTATGCTTTTTCCATTTTGAAATACTGATTGCTTATTCATGATTATGATACTATCACTTCACTAGATATAGGCCTAATAATCAAAATAATATTTATAACAGTGAACATAGAGTGCTTCCTACATGCTAGATGCTTGTGCTAAGTGTTTCACATGTATTAACTCATTGAATACTCACAGCAACACCATGAGGTATTGTTTTCCACTGAGTCGATCCCATCTCAAAGTGACCCTATACTACAGAACAGAGTAGAACTGCCCCACAGGGGATCCCAGGCTATAATCTTTACGGAAGCAGATTGCCAAGTCTTTTCTCCCTCAGACTAGCTGGTGGGTTCGAACCACTGACCTTTCAGTTAGCAGCCAAGTACTTAACCACTGTGCCACCAGAATTCCTTTCCATGAGGTAGGTACTATTATTATCCCCATTTTACAAATGAAGAATCTAAGGAGCAGAAGGATGAAGTAAGCTTCCTAAGGTCACACACCTCTAGGTGGCAGAGGTAGACTACAGAGGGGATGCCCTCGACCATTATAAAAATCCCATTAAAACAAATTGAAGGAAAAAAAGTTTCTCAAAAGCAAAAACAAACAAACAATAAAAAAAAACTCAAGCCTCTCCTCTGCAGAGGCTTGTTTAAAATGATAATGTGACTCATTGAAAGTCCACAACTGTGTAACCATGCTCTTGAAAACCCTTGTGCTGGCTGCAGTGGGATGTCACGGAAATGGCCTCTGAATCTGTGAAAAGACAGTGGATCCTGTGTAGCACTGAAGCTCTGGGCAAGCTATTGACACACTCAAGCTCCAGTTCTTACACCCTTAGTGAAGTGGAATAAGACCTTTGACTGTGAGGAAATTAGCAAGTGGTGATGTCATAGAAAACTAAGATTCATTTGTGTAAGAGTAATTATGTCTATGGAATAGCTGGTTCTTATGAAATGTTATTGTCACATACACAGCAAGAGTTTCTTTTAACCTTATATGTCACTGCTGGATGAGTCAGTATATTCACTACATTTCTGCCAAAGGAAAGAACCAGCACCCAGAAGGAACAAACATTTACTTAAGGTGTTTAGAGGACAGGATTTAAAGCAAAGACGACTGTAAACTTGTATCAGTAATGAGCCCTTGGGAGTTCCCAGGTGTCCTTTAATAATGAAGCCCCAAGAGTAGGGCTAAGGGAAGTCGTTTGCCTGGCTGATCTTCAGTGTCTTTATTCATGTCCAGGGTTTCAAACCAGTTCGTTCTGGTTCAAACCTCTGCTGAGAATTTGCATTTCCACCCCAGATATACTGAATCAGAATCTACATTTTAAGAAGATCCCTAGGTGATTCTTATGTATAATAAAATTTGAGAACCACTGTTCTACAAGTTGTTCTCAGAGTTAGTCCCTAACCAGCAGCATTAGCATTGCCTGGGAACTTGTTAGAATGCAAATTCTCAGCAGGGCCAGTCTGAAGCCCTGTTTATACCACAAAGACTATTGGATTAAATCAGTGTTTCCCAAACCTGCTGGCAGCAGAGTCAACCTTTTAGAAAATACAGCTTGCTGGGTTCCATTCTGGTTCTACTAAATCAGACTCTAGGAGATGGAGATGGCTGGGGATCAATATTGTTTACAGATTCCCTGGGTGACTCTCCTGCAGCCCGCCTCGCACGTATTCCAAGGACCCTTCCAGATCCAAGAATCTCTGAGTCTGTGAGTCTCTGACTAATGCAGAAATGGAAGTAGGCTCCTAGACTTTCTCCAGCTTAAACAGTAGAGGAATGAAGAGACCCTCTCATAGGAGAGGGCTCTACAGGGTCAAGAGGACTTGAAGCACTTACTGATAAAGATCAAAGACTTCAGTATGGATTATACCTCAACATAAAGAAAACAAAAATCCTCACAACTGGACTAACAAGCAACATCATGATAAAAGGAGAAAAGATTGAAGTTGTCAAGGATTTCATTTTACTTGGATCCACAATCAACCCCCATGGAAGCAGCAGTCAAGAAATCAAGAGATGCATTGCATTGGGCAAATCTGCTGCAAAAGACCTCTTTAAAGTGTTAAAAACAAAGGTGTCACTTTAAAGATTAAGGTACGCCTGACCCAAGCCATGGTTTTTTCAATCATCTCATATACATGTGAAAGCTGGAATGAATAAGGAAGACCAAAGAAGAATTGATGCCTTTGAATTATGGTGTTGGCGAAGAATACTGACTGTACCACGGACTGTCAGAAGAACGAACAAATCTGTCTTGGAAGAAGTACAGCCAGAATGCTCCTTAGAAGTAAGAATGGCAAGACTTCATCTGACGTACTTTGGACACGTTATCAGGAGCGAGAAAGACACCATGCTTGGTAAAGTAGAGTGTCAGCAAAAAAGAGGAAGACCTTCAATGAGATGGAATGACACAGTGGCTGCAACAATGGGTTCAAACATAGCAACGATTGTGAGGATAGCACAGGACCAGGCAGCATTTCGTTCTGTTGTACATAGGGTCACTATGAGTCGGAACAAACTCAATGGCACCTAACAGCAACTACAAGGTCAGGCATTTCTCTGCCTTTGCTGTTTATAAAGCAAGAGAGAGTTTGTCCCTAAGAGAAATATCCGAGTAAAAGTAACAGATAGTACTGACTTCTTGTGCCTTTCTCTGGGGACTATGACCTTCATCAAATAATTAAGGGTCCTAAACAATCCAGAAAGAAGCCCTGTTAGCACAGTGGTTAAGCACTTGACTGCCAACTGAAAGGTCAGTGGTTCAAACCCACCAGTGGCTCCATGGGAGAAAAGACCTGGTGACCTGCTTCCGTAAAGATTACAGGAAACCCTGTAGGGCAGTTCTACTCCGTCCTATAAGGTCACTATGAGTCATAATCGACTCAGCAACACACAACAATAAACATTCCAAGGAAGGATAGACTACACCTCCCTGGTTGTCTTTAGTCAGAACTAGATGGTGGCAATGGGCTCATGCCCTCAAATCATGTTCAGAGGGATGAACCAAGTGGCAGATGTTGAAACTGGGCATTTGAGGGGCTGGAGCGGAGGCAGGAAATCATTTCTCCCTAAGTGGGAAGGGCCAGACCTCATCAGATGACTGTGCTGGTTCTCTGTGAATTCTGGAACTTATTACCCTAATTGGTACTGCTATAATACCTCTCTCTCTCTCTCTCCTTTCACTTCCCTGTGTTGTTAAGAGGGAAGGATAATGCTGAGAGGCAGCACTTCTCTCTGAAGTCACTGCTCCATTAGAAAGACTGAGCTGAATGACGTTCCTTCAAACTGGGCTCTGGCTGAGCAAGTCTACTTGATCCTTCTCAAAATGCCGCTATAGGGTCGCTATGAGTTGGAATCAACTGAACGGCAATGAGTTTTGTTTTGGTTTGGTTCCCAGTGTGCACATGCCTCTGATCTCCAATACCATCACACTACAAAGGGAACAAGTAAAGTTGTCTTTAACCTTGAAAGTCTGGAAAGAACAAAGCAGATGGGATGCTATCCCAATTTTAGAGCTAAAAACTAAGGCTTAGCGGTGTTAAATAACTTATTTAAATTCAACAACCAGTTACAAAGAAGGGCTGACATTTAAACCCAGTTAATTGTGTTCCAGGGCCAATGGGCTTCATTTCTGAGGCCACACAGCCTCCTCTTAGGAGATATAAATAAGCAGCTAGTCAGATGCTGTGCAGGAGCCGACAATCATAGAATTTTCAAGATGAGAGGGGTCTAATTTAGTGTGAGTATTTTACGAATTTTAAGACTGAGATCCAGCAAGAGTGAGTGACCTTGGCCAAGGGCTACTGGTTGATATTGATATGGCCTCGGACACATTACATAATTCCCATGCCTCGGGCTCCTCAGCTGTGAAGTGGGCATAATTAAAGAGTTGTTGTGAAAATTAAATGATAACACTTATAAAATATCACTGTGTGATTGGCTCTTAGCACTTAATGAATGTTAATTATTGTTTCTATTATAATAGTTCTTTATACTCTGAGTTTCTAATTTCTCTGCTCCCATTCTCTCTTAAACCCTTTCTTGTCAGGCTCTCATCCCTGCCATTCCACCACACAGCTTTTGTGAAGTTCCCTCTTGATTCCACATTGTCCCATCCTCATCTTCCTTGAACTAGCAGCAGCATTTCACACAGTTGACCCCTCCCTCCTCCTTGATCCACTTTCCCCACTTGGCTTCCAAGACACCACCCTCTCTTGGTTTGCCTCCTACCTTACTTGTTCCTATTCTGTCTGCTTTGCCGGTTCTTCCTTCAATACTGACCTCTTAACACTGGAGGGCCCGGGCTCAGCCCTTAGTCCTCTTCTCCTCTCTACATTCCATCCTTAGTGATCTTATCCGGTCTCGTGGCTTGAAATATCATCTCCATGCCAAGAACACCCATGTTTATATTCCAGCATAGACTTCCTTCCTCAACTCAAATCAGAATGTCTCACAGCCTACTTGATACAGACATCTCAAACCTCAAGTGTCCAAAACTGAATTTTTGACCTTACCCCCACAAAAACTCCTCCCTCTCATTTTTTCCCATCTTAGTTGATAGTAATTCAGGCCAAAAACCTAGGAGTTGCCTTGATGCAGCCTTTTCTCTCACCTCCTGTCTGCTCTGCCAGCAAATGCTATTGGTTCCACTTCACCATATACTCAGAACCTGGCCTCTTCTCACCATCTCCACTGCTACTGTGGAGTTTAAACCATCATCTTCTATGTCCTGGCTTACTGTACTAGCCTCCTGCTATCCTCCCTGCTCCCACCTCTGCCCACTCTGGTCTCTTCTCAATAGAGCAGTTCTAGTGATCACATTAATTAAGTCAGATCCTACTGTTCCACTGTTCACAACACCCCACTGCCTCCCTATAACATGGAGAGTACAAACCAAAGACCTCAGTAGACCCACAAGGTCCTAGCAACTGCTTCCTCATTCCTTCCTCTCTGGTCTCATCACCCACCACATTGTCCCTGCCTCACCTGGCTCCATTCCCTTGGCATTCCTCAAACATGCCAGACACTTGTGCCTCTCGAGGCCTTTGCACTTGCTGTTTGCTCTGCCTAGAATGCTTTTATCCTTGATGCCTGCATAGTTTACTTCATCACTTTCTTCACATTTTCATTTTCATAACATCTCAGTGAAACCTTCCCTCCGCTCCCAATACACATACACCCTTTTTTATCCACATTCCCTGCTATACCTACTATACCTTTCATTTAATTATCTTGCTTATAATCCAGCTCTCTTACTACAGTATAAGCCTCATAGGAAAAGGGATTTTCATCTGTCTTTCTCACTGCTCTATTCTCAGGGCTTAGAAAAGTGCCTGACGAGACTGGAGAAACCTGGAGAGTACGGCCCCCAGACACCCTTATAGCTCAGTAATGAAGTCACTCCGGAGTTTCACCCTTCAGCCAAAGATTAGACAGGCTCATAAAACAAAACAAGACTAAAGGGACACACCAGCCCAGGGGCAAGCACTAGAAGAAAGGAGGGGACAGGAAAGCTGGTAATAAGGAAGCCAAGGACAAGAAGAGAGATTGATGACATGTCGTGGGGTTGTTAACCAATGTCATAAAACAATATGTGTACTAATTGTTTATTCAGAAACTAGTTTGTTCTGTAAACCTCCATCTAAAGTACAATAAAAAAAATTTTTTTTTTTTTTTAAATAAAAGTGCCTGACATAGAGCAAGTGGTCAATAAATATTTGTTGAATGAATATGTGAATGAATGCAGGAGTGAATTGTTATGGATTGAATTGTGTCCCCCTAAAATTTGTGTCAACTTGGCTAGGCCATGATTCCCAGTATTGTGTGGTTGTCCTCCATTCTGTGATCTGATGGAATTATCCTATGTGTTGTAAATCCTAATCTCTATGATGTTAACGAGGCAGGATTAGAGGCAGTTATGTCAATGAGGCAGGACACAATCTACAGGATTAGGTTGTATCTTGAGTCAATCTCTTTTGAGATATAAAAGAGAGAAGGGAGCAGAGAGGCTAGGAACTCTGTACCACCAAGAAAGAAGCGCTGGGAGTAGAGTGCGTCCTTTGGACTCAGAGTCCCTGCACTGAGAAGCAACTAGACCAGGGAAAGATTGATGACAAGGACCCCCCCCCCCCAGAACCAACAGAAAGAGAAAGCCTTCGCCTGGAGCTGGAGCCCTGAATTCCGACTTCTAGGCTCCTAGACTGTGAAAAAATAAATTTGTTGGTTAAAACCGTCTACTTGTGGTATTTCTGTTATAGCAGCACTAGGTAACTAAGACATGAATGAAACCGCTGCCACCTAGGAATGGGGCCAGCACTGAACCACAGGGGCTTGGGCTGGGCTGCGTGCTCGTCTTGGTGAAACTCCCTAGCCATTCATGATGGGAAGCTATAACTTCAGCAATGCCAGGGGAGTGTCCCGAGTAGAGTTACCTCGCTTCATCCCTTCTTCTTTCATCTGTTTAGAAGGTGCTGGACCAAACTCCTCTTCCATTGGCCTGAACATCCGTTTGACAAGGACACTGCTGCTAGAAAAAATGAGCAGAAATTGGTAAGTAAAGCATGTAACATGTGCATGTGTCAGCCCTGTCATTTTCCTTTGCTTATACCATCCCTGGTTCTCCACAACTAGATCCACTCACCAACCTCCTTCTTCCCCCTTGCAGGTCCCAAGTCATCCCTGTCTGAGGCAGAACACACACACCAATACCTTTTTACACATGGACCTAAGACATACTTCTCATTGCTGACTCTGGATCCATAAAGGTGAGACTTCTGCATTTTACCCAGTCCGTCCTGCAACAGCTCCCCTTTTCTGCTCTGATGATCAGGGTTAGGGGGTGGCAGGAGTGAGTCATAGTACCTGTGATCTCCAAGTCACATCAGCACCTTTCATGTTGCTGAGGCCTTGGTGCTCTGCCCATCTCTTGCTAGCCCCCTTCCCTTCCAGGGGGAACTCTAGAAGTGGCATAGGCCTGCTTGCTGTTCTCTCCTGAGAGGCTGTCCTGATTCCCTGCTGTTCTACCTCTCCTTTAGTTGGAGCAGATGAGACTTTAGTGGTACAAGTGCCAGAGACCAAGGCCTGAGCTGGCCAGGCCTTTCCTTCTCTAGGCAGAGGGTTTCCATGCCCTTTTCTGGAAGCCTTGGGTGTTAACAGCCCCTGTATGTCCCCAACTTGGCCAATCTAGACAATTCTTTATTAACTTCCAAAGTCCCTGTCTATTCTCAAGCTGTTTGAGGAAGGGGAGGACTGTTCAAGAGAAAGAGAAATGGGAAGAATAGCCTGTCATTGAATAGAAGTCATTGATGAAGAAAAAAGCCCCTGAATTGAGTCTTACTATTTTTCAAACTCTCAAGAGAGTAGGTGCAGATTTTGGGAATTTTTTTTATCTTTGGGTATTTCTGGAACCAGGCATACAAAGCTTTGCCAGAGAGGCAGTTAAGCAAATTGTTAAGACACGAAATCTAAGGCCACAGTATTGTTGTTAGCTGCCACTGAGTTGCCCTTGACTCATGGCGGCTCCATTCATGATGGGATCAGAGTGTTGTGATCCATAGGGTTTTCATTAACTGATTTTTTAGAAGTAGATTGAGAGGCTTTCTTCCTAGTGGCACGGTGGTTAAGCACTCAGCTGCTAACCAAAAGGTCACTGGTTCAAATCCATCAGCTTCTCCATGTGAGAAAGATGTGGCAGTCTTCTTCTATAAAAGATTAAACCAAAAACCAAACGCATTGCTGTTGAGTTGACTCTGACTCATAGCGACCCTACAGCCTTGGAAACCCTATGGGGCAATCCTATTCTGTCCTACAGGGTCACTATGAGTCCAAATCAACTTGACAGCAAGAGGCTTGGTTTGTTTGGTTTTTCTTCCTAGTCTGTCTTAGTCTGGAAGCTCTGCTGAAACTTGTTTAGCATCCTAGCAACATGCAAACCTCTACTATCTTGGTTTAAATCCCTGCTTTATAATTGACTAGTTATGGGAACTTTGGTAACTTGCCTAACCTCCTTGGGTCTCAGTCTCCTTATTTTTAAAATGGGGTTGTTTGGAGAATTCAGTGAATTAACATAAAAGCACTCAGAAAGTTACCCTATATATTGTAAGCACTATTTAAGTGTAGGAAACCCTGGTTGCATAGTAGTTAAGAGCTACAGCTGAGTGAATTGTTAGGGATTGAATTGTGTCCTCCAAAAACGTGTGTCAGCTTGGCTAGGCCATGACTCCCAGCTAAGATGTAGCAGCTTCAAGTCAAGAACATCTTGAAAAACTGTATATATGTATATAAAAGAAACAAAAATTGGAACTTGGGGTTGTGAAGGCACATAGGGCTTATGGCCAAACTTTAGAGTAGAGACACAGAGAAGTGAGCCAGACACTGCGTAGTTTTCTTTTAACGGTGCTGCCAAGTTCTTAAGCTGCACAGGTCAAGAGCCTAAGAAGTAAAGCAGAAAGACCTTGAAAATCAGAAAGGAGGATTTGACAGTCTCACCGTGTTTAGGAGACAAAAATTAGACTTCAGGACTCACCAAAGAAGACGGCCAGCAGTAAGTCCTTCAGAGATACATCCTAGCAAGTAGGATGAACCAAAGGTGGTCTAAAGCTGATAAAATCTGCAATCCTGTCTTGGGTCAGTTCTGTCTCTGACTTGATTATGGTGATCTCTACACACTCAGGCTGCACACTAGAGGATAGGAAAAATATAGTCCTACCCAGGAGAAAAATATGGTCATCCAGAGCCTCCATATTTTTTTATGTACAATGTTCACTATCCAATCAATATTTATCAGACATACCAATAAACATGACCAAGGGGAAAAAGATAGACAATAGGAACAGACCGACAGATAACACAGTTATAACACAGTTACTTTATTATCAAATACAAACTTCAAAATAATTGTGATTAATATGTTCAAGAAAATAAATGAAAGGACACATAGAGCTAGAATTTATTAAAAATAAACCAATTCAATGTAATCTCTACAATTAAAAAATGCAATACTTGAAATGAGGAAAACAACAGCTGAGTTCAACAGTAGACTGGACTCAGCAGAAGAAAGGATTTGAAAGTTGGGTAGGTAGAATTTGAATTTGAAGGTTAGGTCAGGAGAAAATATCCAGGCTGAAGCATAGCAAGTGAAGAGGATAAAAATATAAAAAAGAACTTAAGAGACATAAGAGACACAAAAAGTTCTAAAATACACTTAATTAGAGTCTCAAAGAAGTGGAGGAAGGAAACAGGAAAGAAACAATTCTTGAAGAGGTAAGAGCTGAGACTGTTCCAAAACTGATGAAAGACATAAACCCACAGATTCAAGAAGTGCTATAAAATGCCAAGCATGAAAAAAATAATAATAAAGAAAACTATGTGTAGGAACATCATATCAAAAATTCTGAAAACCTAAGAGAAAGAGAAAATTTTAAGAGCAGCCAGAGGAAAAAAAGAAACATTACATAAAAAGGAGCAAGAATAAAATTGATGGCTGCCTTCTGAACAGAAATGATGGAAACCATAATGGAAAGAAAAGAACTGCCAACTTTGAATTTTATATCTGCCAAAAATATCCTACAAAAGTGATTGTAAAATAAAGATATTTACAAAAAGTAACAAACAACCTGAGAGAATTCTTTGTAAGTAGTTCCACAACAAAATAAACACTAAACAGGCAGCAGGAAAAGGATCCCAAAGAGAAACAGAGAAATAGAGGAAGGAATAAAGAACAACAGAAAGGGTAAATATAACTAATTTTTATGCAAATAACACACACTATGTTTGCCAACCACTTCCTCCCCCCAGTGAGGTATTTTTGTAAGTGCCACAATGCCAATTTTTTTACTTACATGTTGCTATAAAAAAAATTAGCATAGCATGCTTACAAAAATACCTCGCAGGGGAAGGGAGTGGTTGGCAAACAAATGTAGAAGGCGCACATTATCTGCATAAAAATATGGTAGGTTAAATTTCCAAAAGGTGGTAAATCTCAGTTATTAAGAGTCTTGAGTTTAAATCTCCCCGTGTGCGACATGGCAAGAAAAATTGGTATTAATATAAGAAACGGGTGAAAACCTGTAACTGAGGGATGCTGAAAATGCTTTTCATTTCTTTAAATATTTTTTAAAACCTCCCTTGCATATGTGATGCAGATTTGTGAATTCCTGGGTGGATTTTTAAATGCAATATCTAACAGTAAAAAATAAGAATCAATCAATCAAAACAAGGGACTGTCTTACAACTGCATGTGAATCTACAATCATCTCAAAATTAAAGTTTAATTAAAAACATAATTTTCAAAAAGGAGACAACATTGTGGCAATTACTTATGAGATTATTTTTCTATAACATTATGAAAATCAGTATTTGTGGCTTGGGATAAAATTTTCAAGGGCAACTTTATATATACGGATTTGACAAGTGCTGTATTTCAAACAATTTTAATGGTAGTGAAGAATTGCCCTGTTAAACTGTGCGATGATGCAAAAAGTGATTTTTTGATGAGAAAGACACTCAGGTCAAAGATGAATTGTGAAGAAGTGTTTCATAAAATGTGACAGATATTTCTAAATTATAAAATATGTGGTTCCTTAAATATATGCATAATTTGTTATAATTAACAAAATACGAATCAATAGATCATTGACTCTTTTGGCTATATCCATGAAGGTTTACTTATTCAAGCTGGTCTAAAAGCTTTAGGGGGATTTTCCTACATTTTTAGCCATATTAGTATATTTGTAAACATATCATGCATATTTGTAAAACATACCCCACCACACCCTATGTTTCATGATGTTCTTGGCATCCCTGAGAACCTTATCAAAGAAAAGCACTTGGTTCTCTAGAAAGTTGATCCTTTAAGAGAAATAGTGCGTTTTCTTCTATGTGGATCTATGAAAACTTTTTTGAAAATGAAGGAAATGCCAAGAAACATGCTGAATCACTCAACCGTCCCTCAGAAGTCATCTGCTTCAAGACTCTTGTTTTGGGAAAAACAACCCTATATTTGTCTAAACATTGATATTTGTTTCTGTTTTGTTATTTGCAGCTAATAGTATTCCTAATAAATACACATTATAAAGGCAAACAAAAAAAAGAGAGAGAGAGAAAGAAATAGTGCAGAATTCTAAAGAATTTTATTTTTTAACCCCATAAAGATTCCTGATGGATGCAGGGTGATGACTTTTTTAGGTGTAATGTCGTTTTAATTAAATGCGCTCACTGTGATTAGTTAATAACCTAACTTTCCCAAAGGGCATTGAATTCTAAAAGTATTTACTTCCACTGAAGAGGAACAACCAAACCTGTCTGTTTTCCATCAGCAACACTGTAAACCAGTTCATGATTGGGTCTGGTGGCATCTACAGGGCCCTCCCCCCTGCACTAGTAAAGGCAGGGCCCTCTGCTGAGATGCACAGAGCCTGATGAGTGAAGTCATTCTGGGAGTGGACTCTCTGAGCTGGCATGGAAGCTAACCTATAGAGGTGGCCTTTGAAACTTTTGCTTTCTTCTGGCTTGAGTTTTATAAAGACT